TTCGCAAGCCTACAAGAGCGATCTTCACACTCATATCCTCCCTCCATTCTACCTCGACTGGCTTACAGAACAAGGATATGGTCTCGTAAATCCTCCAGCATGGATTGTGATGCTTTCTATCTTCACATTTGAAACTCTCTCGTTGTCTGACCCAATCTCTCCTTAAAACACTCCAGCAAAATGCACTGGTAGTATATATTTTACCAGATTATAGAAGTGACTCGCATCCTTAGAAACATGAACGATACTGAGCTGTACACTCCCGCACACTCCACAAATGCCCAATGCTTTCGCCCAATGTTTTCACATGTGTTGGGTTTTCACATGTGTTGAGCCATTTTATAATAGCAATGTACCCAATTCGACCGAAAACATGTATGTATATAGATAAAACCTTGGAGTACTCCAGTGATCGTAGATGACAGAAGTTAAACTTTTCTGTGTATCATAAGCCGAAGGCTAAGATGCCGAAGTCCAGGTGTGAACCCAAGAAAAGATAGAGGTAGAACTCCCAGAAGTCCAAATAATTCTTTGAATTTGTTTCGAAATTTGATTCAGACACGCAAATATTTGGCTGAAAAGGTACCATCGTTAAAATTTTGAAACAATAGATTGTCAGCAAAGCAAGCACAAGTCTATTCCTGAAATCTACTGCATAATGTTGTATGCTGGAAAAAGAAGCATTGCTTGCTCTTCGTCGTAAAATTTTTTATGTGCAACCATGTTCCTTCACATTCTGACATGTCTTGCAAGTTAGAGTGATGCAATTCTCCATGCATCACACAGATGAAGTTGATTGTCAAAGAGCAACCATATTAACTCACAAATAGCTCCATAACAATCTGCCAAAACTGGAAATATCTTTACTACGTTAGAGATATAACCAAATACCAGCCAAGCCGTAAAAAGAATAAAGAGAACAAATAACCAAGGGCTAGTTCTAATAGTACCACTTACTTCAAGAAGATACTTAATGACTAAAATACGCGAAACCAGATTCACTGCCAGATTTTGGGGCAGTTTACGGTTTGGGTGAAAAATGAGTCATACAATATGAGCGTACAAGTCATCTTCGAATCTATTGATTATGCACATTGACAGCAGCGGCGAGTAGCCAAGATTCTATTTCCTGTGCCGATTACAGTCTGGGCTCACAACAATGTCCTCGTATCGTCTGATCTAATCTCATCTTCTTTGGTCTATTAGTGTCAGCTGAGTAAACAGATTCCTTACTTGTCTGCATCTCGAGCTCTGACCACTCACTCTTTGTCCTTAAGTCTATATGTCAGCACTCTTTAAGCTCCTTCTGCTGCTCTTTAAGTGCATGTCAATCCTCAACATCTTACCTTTTCTTTTCCGGTGTACTCTTCAAGTATCTATTTTTTATATATGTATTATCGAAATATGACGAGAATTGGAAATTGTTTTTAATTCGTTGACTAGCAGTAGTCAGTTACATATAACACCTTCGCATTAAAATTTATTTCAATCAAATCGCATGTGAAAGTCTATTCTTTAATAGTTGATATATCACTTATTAAATTATCTCAACTAATCTTTGTCTATCCATCCTGCCAAGCAAGAAAGGTGTGGTGTACCTTTGCAGTAAAATGCCTACTCGTACCTACGTATGCTCATATTTGTCACTTCAAATGCCTCACGTGTTATTGTTTCCTCCTCTCTACACGTGTTTCACGCAACACTTGTAAACAATTGATTAAGCCATATTGTGCAATATTCTATAGTGTCAACGGGATTGTCTTTTCCCAATGTTCCTCGCGTTCTTAAAGTCCATCCTTCAACTTCCGATCAGATGATTCAAGCATGGATGAGCTTCATTCAGAAGAATCCTTCATCTTGTGGTCTCTGAGTCCAACTTAGCAGCAGAAGCTTTTGAGGTGTCGTTGAGCTAACTCCCAGACCCAAGGTAAAGTGCCAATCGTTGACTAAGAGCCGCAGCCGCCACTCGGGGAAATTATTATGATATGCATCTGTCCCCAAAGCTTGTGCAAAGCTTTAGGAAAACCTCTCAGTCTTTAAAAAGCTTGAACTTCTCTTGATCCCTCCCATACTTCGAAAATCTCTCGATTCGTTAGAACCCTCGAAGTAAAATCCCCGTTTGCCATCAACTAGCTTGATTGGTACTCCCATTGCGCTATTAGTGCTCAATTTGAAATTGCAAATTCTAAGAGCATGAACCTGCACTGATGTTAACTTCCGTATCTATTCTCAACGAAATCTATCTAAAATCGCCTCATTGTCAAATTGTTTCTCTTTTTAAACTTGTGATAGAACAACATTGCTGCTCAAACTAACACTTTCATTTGATATTGCAGTACCGAACCTGAGTATAATGCTTCATATGGCATTAGTTACTTTTATTATGCATAACCATGAAAACACATATATTCCAACATAGTTACAAATTATGTTGGTTCAAAATCGCATACTTGTTATGAAAATTTTATGATTTTCTATTTTTTCGTTCAGTTTTTTTCAAAGGAGAATTTTATTGAATAAAACCTTTCAGAAACCTACTCTTTACCTTCTTGATTAATAATTTTAATGAATATATCTAATTTCAATTCAGACTAAGTAAGTTCTCACATGTTTAAAGGTATATCTGTAAATTGATTATATATTCTCTTAATTCTTTGGAGAAGATATAATAGTAGTCTATTTTTTCACACTGGTGAAAAGTGGTCTATTTTTTTGAATAATTGTTGCAACATAATCATTGAAAAGATAGTTATTAACTCTAACATCTCTTCAATTTGTATATGTAGGACAGGTTGCATCATGCATCAGTTTGAAACTGATATAAAAACCTGCTGCAACTTCTTCAGAAGTATATGGGCACAAAAAGTTTGTTATTCTTTTTAGAGAAGATTTTCACAGGAAAAAAGATTCAATTTCTGATATCAATATATATAATATGCGCTTTTTACAAAACCTCTGTTAAATTCAAAAAACTAGAACACATATACATGCAAAACGATGATGATTATTGTGTAGATAATGCATAAGTAGATTACATCCTCTTTAAACGAACTTATACCACATAGTATTATATGAAATTTTTTTATTTGCTTAATATTTTTTTTGCTTATGTCAAATAACTTCAAATTTTTTTCCCCCAACGCTTGAAGGACAAAATTACAACTTTGACCTAGAAGCAATCGCAAGGAAGTAGATACACAAGTATCAAGATCTTATTTGAGACCTTGAACACGTGTCACAGGTGTGTCTCGAATCTTCATGAAGTCTGTTCAAGCACGATATATTGATGACTATTTGAGTGCAGATCCAACAGGTACTTTTTTAGCTTCAGATATAGGTTTTGGTAACAATGTACTTCACAAATAAGCAGAAGAGTCGGTGGATTGGAGTCATCAGACAAATGCATTTCTTTTCGGTTTGTCTCGAGTGATGATAAAAGGAAGTGTGGCATTCAAGTCGACACGGCTTATCTACCAAGTGGTTGTGACCTATCTGTACAAGGCGTTACTTGAAGAGGAGTCAACAAAATATGTCATGAAAAAAATGCCGACCAAGTCTACACAAACATAAGTTAATATTGATTTTGAATTAAATGACGGTCAAATCGAGACGATTCGGAATAGACATGTTCCATATTACTTTCTGACTCCCGCATAAAATTGACACAAGATATTAGACTTTGATAGTAGTCGCAGCAAACAAATTATTATACCTTTCTACTCCACAGTTCCAAACTTGAGCAAGTACCAATACCATGCAATAAGTAGTAGAGAGTTCAAATCGACAGGGGCGAAATACTAAGCAATGCTGTCCCAAAGGTTATATCAGAATTACAACGTATAACCAAAATAATAAAATCTATAGATACGACTTTCGTCAGAGTAAAGAAGCTGTATTCTAGGCCTGATAGGAAACGTGTATGAATCGAATTCAACTTGGATATGAGAATTTTTCGTGGACGGAGTTGGCAAAATTTGGATAAGCATAGTCTCAAGCAACGTCTCAAGCTTCAAACTGGGACACCACCAAACCGCTTGTCTAAGCTGTTTGGTGTGTCATAGAAGTATGTTTTTGGTCTTAGAAGCAGCACTTTCAGATCACAAAATGATTACAAAAGTCTGATGCTAATGCTAAGTTATGATTTCGAAGAATTAAAATAGAGTTGATTGTGGAATAGAGATATTTCACTTAGTAAATGAATTTCGCTTAGGTAAGATGAAAATTCGTGATTTTTGTGAAGAGTCAATCTGATCTCCATTGTCACGTACACTTTTACAACTCTTGAGCTTGAGAATCACACTGATGTAGATTATTATCTCAACCTAAACCGTCATGCATTCGGCCCATTCGTGAGGAATCTCGTTGCACCTGAATCCTCTAGATGATCAGAAAACGCCAGGATCTAGATAACGAAATAACCACAGGAACTCAGAATTACAGGTGGTGCCATACTGTAGGTATAAAATGTGAATAGAAGTGGAGAGCAAAATATTTTACTGAGGAGGTGCGGTCTAGTCAGGAGAATGTGGATAATAAGGCGCTGTGGTTTGCGTCAGACAGAAACATCGAGGTCTTCACAAGTGTACGGTGCTAGCATTGAAAATTCTTAAGTCCAAGCGTACTTTATGGATGAAAGCTGTACTTAGGATATCAAGCAGTACATGTAATCCGTGATCCGCAAGGTACATCGCTTCTGAACATAACATATCAAAGATATTGGATGAAGGGGAAAATGTCGGAAATCTCTAATCTTTTCGGCTAATGAAGGTCAGTTCTGCGTACTTGACATAGTTCTGCGTACTTTAGATAAATATTCAATTTGAGGAGAATCATTAAGGGACAACTAAGCCAAGTGGCTATCACTCTTAAGATACAGAACGGCTGAATTGTAGCGAAGCCAAACTCTTAACAGTTAGGAGTCTAGATTCAATTTATCCTTCAACTCGTAAAGTTGATATGATACAAGATTCTGTTCTGATAGCCCATGAACCATGTCACAGTCAAATTTTAAATAATATTTTCATACATGACGGCCGGTGAGCCTATCAGTGTGAACAATCCATGCTCATAAGTAAAGTGCAAAATTCATCTCCAGATTTTACTAAGGTACATTAACTATATCCGGATCCTGCATACCACCTACCTACTTTCCTAAAACTATACATTGACCTGGCAATCCCATGGCTGACAATTGATGGCAAAAGTTACTGCATACAAGTCTATCGATCTTTTCCAGTCGCGTACTTTGCTAAACCCAGCTGATGACATAGCAATCACAAAGGAGTAGGCCTCTTCGGTTTGACCGAAGCTCTCTTTCTATCCTCGTAATCTTTCTTTCATTCGTTTTCCAGAGCGCTAATATGCAGAGCCCAATATTGCGGGATTTAGGATCGATAAACCTGGCTCATTCTCTGATAAGAGCTTCACATGGCTATAAAGAAGAAATTGATACTATGAAATATTACTGCCGTGGAGTTCTGGTACTCTATCGCACAAACATGATAATCTACGAGAGACTACCACATACCTAGCACTGATTGCAGCTGGAGGTCGAGCGGTCGCAGCAGGAATTTTCATCCAGCGAAGGAGGAAAGGTAAAGTGGTCGCGTAGAAAGTCACAAAGCTGTCGAAGAGAAGATCGAATCAGAACGCGCGCGAAATCTACACCCTCAGTCCACCAGGACCACGAGACGTCACTGGAGCCTTCCAGAGCTTGTCTGCATCTACCAGCTCCTCCCAAGCAGCAGTCACCGTGAGCTACACTGGCGTAAGTCTTGCCGTTCGTGCACTTGACGTTTGTCCACGATTGGGACTTGCACATGCACACACACTGACTCTTCCCACTGCACAACGCCGAGCAGGAGCACGCTTTGACGTCAAAATCTCTCGTGGAATTTCCTCTGAGTCTCTTTGATTTGTGACAGTCGCTCGGTAGCAATGCCGACCTGCGCAGTCTCATGTCGCTGGAAATTAGTGCTCCTTTGTAACAAATCTTGCCCTTAGGAACATCTTCCACCTTCTGATTCCGCCCACATCGCACATACTGTCCGCCATTCTCATCGGGCTCGCACCGGATGCTCAAACCAGGCACGCAGATGGAAAGGCCAGCACCTGCAGGATCATAGAAACAAGACAGTCAACGACATATATCCATGACAAGGTGGGGCAGAATGAGACATCCCACCGAGAATTCTCCTGCAGCCAGCCTGGCTAATGCATGCGAACGTAAATTGCGCAACATGTAGCAGCCTCCTCGATCCAAATTCAAAATCACTGAAGAGTATGTGAGCTGGCGCGATACTCACCAGGAATGAGAGGGTGGCCAATAAGGAGACTCAAGGCACCCGCAACGCAGAAGCACACAGCAGCTCCGAAGAGTAGAATCGAGTGGTTCTGGCTCAGGCCCATTCTTGCTGTCGGCTGCAGCGATTGCTCAGTTTATCAACCTTCAACGTTTTCAGGCCTAGCTAGGTCTCAAGTCTTCGAGACGATGATCTCGATCGGAATTTCAGTCAGGTGATCCGTGTGACTAGTGCACAGCTTAATGCACCCAAACTCAGAGTTGTCCGATGGTGTAACTCTACTCTCCTGCTCGTGCACATTCGTCGGCCAGATTTTGATGATTCGGACGAAACTCATGCACTTCGAATGTAATTAATGGTGGTCTGACCAAGTAGCATGTCTGAAGCATTCAAGCCAAGAGAGGAAACATGAATGCTCCAGGTAGTTATGACATTTTATACTCCCATACCTCCTAAAGGTCCTCAATACAAGACGCAGGATGATGATCTGCACAAGATGACGGTTGTAAAAGTATATTTGGCATTTGGTGTCGTCTTGTTGCAAAAGATCATAATGCTGAGCTACGATAAAAGTACCCTCAGGCATCTACAATTCGGTGGACTCCTTGGTCGATTCTGATGTATAGGCTGCTGCCTTTACATCAGAATACGAGAGAATCTCGCTTTAAGAGAGACTACAGGTTTTTGTTTCCGTTTCGGTTGATGGACAATTTGGAGTTTCCACACTCTGCCCACTCTTTGTATGGATTGCCCAACTCGTGGACTCTCAGGTACACAGAGAACTTGATCCATCTGCGCTGACCGGGCGTTGAGCGCGTAAACGGATTTCGAGAAAATGACAGAGCTTGCGCGGTTTTGTTCATCTAAGGGCGATATCAGGGAAGCGAACTCCAGCTCTGGGATCATGGCCGTTCAATCGAAAGGCAAAAGCTCACTTTTAGCAGAGGAAAATAAAGCGACTGCGAGCGGAACAAGCCCAACCTTTACAACTGAACCGATTGGGGGCTTCTTTCGGAATTTTTCGGTTCCAAAAAAGATCTTCTTCTGGTAAACAAGGATTCCCTCAGCGCGAGGACCGGCAGAAAGCCTACGCGCACAGGAGTATCCCAGGGCCGATGGTCGAGTCAAAGTATACTGAGACGACGGGTGATGTTGTACAGTATAGCAAGACGACCAGCGCTGGAGTCGTGTCTCAGTGCCCTGTAGGACTTGTCTTGTCAGCAGCATGAAGTTTTCCCTCATGGCAAGAATGATGATGACCTTTTCTCCTACAGAAGAAGCAGAAGTTTTCCCTCATGGCAAGAATGATGATGACCTTTTCTTCTACAGAAGAAGCAGTCGCCCCTCGGCATCTTTCGGGTTGTTTTGTATCTGGGCTCAGCTCAGCTCAGCTCTGCTGACGATTGTCAGCCGCCATGGCTAGAGCAAGCACTGTTGGAGGTCCTGCTGATATCACACTCTGTAGAAATGTGTTTATTAACGATATGCATTAAGTTGACCGAGTGATCGTCACCAGAATCGACGAGGGTTAGCGAAGGGGAGCGCCTGCGTTTCAGTTCATTTTATGTACAGTACGCGTAGCCTCTGATAACTCTTAAATAATCGTAAATACAATTCTCGTGCTGAGCCGACTGCAATTTCGTAGGGTCAAGCTTTTTCTTCTACTCTATAAACTGAGACTTTTACGACCCAAGACCCGGAGCTGCTAGGAGATAAAAGGCTCGAATCTTTCAAATAGGCTTTTCTCACAAGATGAGTCCGTCGAAAAGCAAGACTTTGAAAAATGTCGCCATGCTCATGCGTTGATTGGGTTCGTTCGCAGTAAGGAAGTTGGTAGATCATTCCCTTCTATAACTCATAAGCTAATTTGCTTTCGCTTAAAAAATGATTAGTGCTTGTTCTCACGTTTTCCAGATTTGAGGAAAAACCAAACTAGCGTTTCGTATTGTACTACGATCATTGACTCTTTGATTTCGTCCATTGGGTCCTGCTAGCTGTGCCGGAGATCAGAACCAGAACTGAGACTATTCCTCCTCGGCCTGCGGAATGACTCTTCGTGCGAAGAAAAAAGGGCGGCTGAACTTTCAACATGGAATCCTCGACTCCCGTGGCTCACGTCGGCAAGTTGATTGATCTTCAATCTTCATTTCAGCCGTTTCCACGTTACTCCAAAAGACATCGACATCAGCATTCAGACCAATTCCCACGATGTAATTATCATGATCAGAATACGGTCGTCAAATTTTTCGACCGCTCCATAAGAAAAAGCAAGATATGCCTGACGTCCTCTGATCTCAAAGTGAAGCTTTTAGTTTATGCTTATCTTATTGGGGAGATATAAACCGTCGTGACATCGAGCGAAATGTGCGTCGTCAAGCCATATCAGGAAAGCAAGTCCTAAAAATCAAACGACAGAAGCCGGGATACTAGATCCACAGCACCTTCCAAATGTCCTCAAATTTCGAGGCTGGTTCCTTCACACCACTCTCGAAAAGGTGTAAAGTAGCAAGCCAGCAGCAGCAGCGACTCACGTTGAGCAGTTTTGTTCTTGTTGTTTCCTCTCCGATCTTCTTTCAGTTTACACTTTTCATGTGAAGAAATTGGATCCGCACGTAACGCCGCCATTCTTCATGTGTCATCGCCTTTTTGGAGCTCCTTCCATTGCCTTGAACTGGGATGCCACAAAGTGGAATCTAACTTGAGGGATTTATTTTGCTTTCGCCCACGAGTGTGATGATGTTCTTCGGACTGTGAAGAGGTTCTTGGACCCACTCTTCTGACAAAGAGATGGAGTTCGAGCCCACGTAGGTCTTAGCAGGCCAACCATCGTCGGGAATGAGAAAGTTTGGAGTGACGTCTGTACCAGACCACGTATCAAGATTCTTCCATGACTGACAAGAGACCACCGACTGCAAGTATCCAATCCTTTGCTTTCGAACCTGTAGTGCGAAAATAAAAGATCATCGCCTGTTGGCCACTTCGAGAAACTCTCATCTCTCCTGCCATGTCCGGCAGCAGCCCTGAAGATGCACGAGAAGAAGTAGAAGCAGATTGTTTATCACCATGTATAAGAGAAGCCTTTAAAGGTAGGTTTTGTTGAGATCAAAACTGTAGGAGTTGATATATTGATCAGTATTCAGAAAATACTCTGACATCAATAATGCCTACTGGCTAGTCCAGGGAGTTGTAAGCGATGTTGATGCTCACTGCTGAAGTACCATCATACTGCCATGTTCACGAAGCTATTCGCCCACAACTACCTTACCACTCACACATCCAAAAAGTTGGACATTGTCAGCCCTTGTCCGGACAAGAAACAAGATGACATCTGTTCTAGATATCATCGGGCAATCACAGAGGCGAAGTCTAGAGTATCAAACTAAGCCTGATTTCGATCGCCGAAATGACTATCATCTACTATCCATCTTGGGTGGTTTCCTAACATTGATTACAACCACTCTGAGCTGCGCAACACTCATCGGCGTCCAGCGGAGGAGGAGGAAAGGTGCACCGCTCACGCATGAAATCACAGATCCGTTTTAGCCAGGATCTGATTACGATTTTTCCGAATTCCACAGCCTCAGTCCACCAGGACCACGGGAAGTTTCGAGATTTAGACTGCAGAGCTGATGCGCAGTTCCCGGATCCTAAACAGCAGTCAGCTTGAGCTTGGTTGGCATAAGTTTTCTTAACACCGTTCACCAGACATGTGACCTTCTGCGCCGATCCAGACTTGCAATAGCACGTGCACCTGCTGGATCCAGAACATAATGCCGGACAATTGCAAGCTTTCAAGTCGAATTTCGTCGTCGAATTTCTGCTGTGTGATGTCCTCTCGCGACAGTTGTGTGGGAGCAATCCCGAGTTGTGCATTCTTGAGTTGGTTGAGATCAATGCCCCATTGTAACAGACTTTGTTCGCTGGGACCTCCTGCCTCTTTTCACTCCTCCCACATCTTACGAACATGCTGCCGCAGTCATCGGGCTCACAGCGTATGCTCAATTTAGGAATGCACAGCTCCACTGAAGGACTAGCACCTACAGATTCACACATACATGGAAACCTTAGTTGTGTAAATTTTCTGATCCTCGTAGCATCCTGTCTGAGCTCGGACAGAAGACATTCCAACTGCAAAAAAAACTTTCTTCATGCAACGGAGCTTAGCCAAAGTGGAGATCGCTGATGGTGAGTGGAGGTGATGTGTAAGACCTCAACTGACCTGAACTGTATCCAGATACGTGGAGAGTAAGCACCAAAGTAATGGCAGTGGTGCCGAGGAAACAGAAGATTGCACCGAGGCATAGACACGAGGTGTTCGTGTTCAGAGCCATTTTTCGCAGATTACAGACGGCTGATAAGATGTTACAATGGCTCGACGACTGGGCTTGCTTTTTACAGCGAGTATAACAAATTACATTCACTTTGCGGTTAAGAATGCTGCTGGTGGAAATTAATGCCCCAAGCACTCACAGCTGTCAGCAAGGCCTAGGACAACGAGTTCGCCACTGTGATGATTATCAGTCTGCTGTAAATCGACCTTGTACGAGCGAATGCAGCTGCTGGTGAAACGAAGTCATTAATCTCGCACATGTGCCAGAAACGGTCCACGAGTTCGATGGTGAACAAATGGATCTGGTAGCGATGGTCCACTGGGAATCCTTAAAAAGGTTGTCAGATGTCTCACACGGCCTATCTGTGACAGTCAGCCCTCTGTTTGAGCCTGGAATCGAGCTCATCATACGGACGTCACTTTCTCTCAAGGGGAGGACATTTTGTTTCCTCGAGAACATCTCGACGCGGTGCTCAATGGGTCCCAAACGGTCAACGCAAAATTCTTTGAATCTCAAGAGGTGAAAACCGTGTTCGAAGTTCCCAAACCAAGCGCGTCAGAAATGCTTCTGTTCCAGTCTAGAAATTTTTTGTCACTGAAATGAAGAGTGCTTGACGGAATCCGAATGTTCTCTCTATCAATGTTTGGAGCATCAGTTGGTCCTAGATTGCCACGTCTTTGCTCTCGCTCTCTCCGCTCTTTGAAAAAACTTTCGTTAAGTCCCAAGAATCATACACTTTCGTCGAATTCACCTGAGTTGATTTTGTCCGCTCATCGTCGTGAACATTGTGTTTATTCTATATGTGAGTTGACCTGACCACTCGAGTCCTCAAGGTTGTTGAGTTACGTAGGTCTTTGGGCTATGATCAAGTCAATCGGACGTCCTCAACACTTGCACGAGTTTACCACAAAGATCCCAAACTACAGGATGCATGCATCCGACAAATCGTATCAAAGTCAAAGGTCAGCGCAAGGGGTTCCGCGGTCCGTGAATCGGATTGCGAGACCTCTTTAGGAGGCGGAGAATGAAATCACTTTTGAGGCGAAATCCTGCCGAAGGCTTCCTGTGTATGGACGATATGCAAGTAGGGCTCTGGGCTCAAAGCTCGTCAGAAAGTGCTGCAGCTGAAGGCGGTAGAATCCAGTGTAGATCAAAACAGTTTTTGTCTAGTTGGGTTCGGTTTATTCGTTGGTGTACCGTATTCGATAGTACATGCCGGCATATGTGGAATCATAATTCACGGGTCAGACCAAAATAAATAAAACCTAGACAGGACAGGACCGCCATTTTCAGCTTCATATGATTTCTTGGTGATTGCATACTTGAAAATATGGACTCTAGAAACAATACAAGCACTCGCACAAGCTCAAGGCTTCATTCATTCCAAAACCACTAGAGCATAGTCCCTTCAATCACACTTAGAGCTTGTTATAATACTCTAAAGAGTGCATGGCAAAAACTCATGGATGCATCATACATATCCACAACTCTGACCTCAGATGCTCAGCCACTGCTCGATTCTTTCTTACTTATTTCTTTTCAGCTAACCATCAGTCAATAAATCGATAGAAACTTCGCTTGGTTTGAACAGAGTGTAGTGTGTATACGAAAAAATTCCGACGATGAGCTGAAAAAGTTTATCAATCATGCTTTTGAGATAATGCTGACGTACATTATTTTAAGAGCATTTTCGATATGATCTTGCTATAATTGCTGACTCTGATGAAACTTGGAAAGCATTGCCAGACAGTGGATCTACGTGCCGACCTACAGCTTTTCAATATTCTTCAACTGTAGGGCCTGCAACAGAATGATACAAATTCTGGGTACACGACGTCCGAGCACCATGTCAACAGAGCAAATTGAAACTGAATCAATGAAGACAATATACAACTAGCTATTGTTAATAGAACTTGGTATCTGTTAGAAGTAACTTTGGTTAAGAATGTATACGCGTTGAGTATAGAAAATGGTTTATAATATTGGGTACATCATTTGAATAGATCATAAGCACTACGTTGACTCTCTCAAGAATGAATAAACATTTAACACTACAGACTTTGTAACGCATCTTCGTAAACTAATCCTGATAGAAAAGAGAGTGTTCTATTCGCTCGGCATCAAACAGAGAACCTACGCTGAGCTCAGAAGAAGGAACGTTCAGGCTCAGAGAGAGATGTTGGGGAGGATCCGAAGACCAAATCAGCCGCTCGTCTGCAAACTCGGCACATGAAGGCGGCATCGTTGTCGAGGTCTGTCGAGCCTACCCTCGCAGCCAATCCTCGGAAAACTCGCTGAACTCCTCTCGTGAACTCCTCTTGTCAGCAGCGATTGTATGGTGTTTGCAAAAGCGTACTCATCGTCCGTGAGGTCCCACCCAGCGCGCGCCCGGCACACTTGGCCTTGAAAGTCCATGCATGGCGCCCACGTCTTTCTACGGCAGGCTCTCTCGACCCAAACCTACCTCTTGACTCCTTATTTCATACTTTGGAGCTACGGGCTTGTACGTGTCAAGTTGAACAACTGTTTATCATCGAAGATAATAAATACCATTTTGGTCATACATCGTGTGCAATAGATAGCCAAATCAATCATGCGTAAAGCGTGTGATGTCTTTTTTAATTTTTGAAAATTATTCTTTTCGAATGATATTGCTATTCGGGTTTAGTCCCATATTAAGGAGGATCATACACCCCACTACGACTTCATGGCTTACCCATTGTTTTGGCTCTAATATTATTGTTTGATAGGTTGGGTTAATTATTGGTTTGACATGCTAATTTTTTTAGCAATTATCATTTCAGATTTTTTGTACAGTTAGGTCCACGGGTCTAAGCCAACCGTACATATTTTGATTATGGCCACCTTGATCTATAATAGCTACTAAATGATTATAAGACTATCGAGGGGAAAAATCACGTTATTAATTTTATGAATTTAGAATTTTATCACTAATATTTATTACTTTTCGCAAGATGCATAATATTTGTATCATGTCAATAGATCAAGTGCAACAATATTTTCATCAAGAATCATTATAACTTAAACTTACTCTTGTGCACAATATATACTATCATATAATTGTGAATGTGAGGAAATAAAAGTAAGTATATATGCATTTTACATTTATAGATTTTTTAAATATAACACATCATCTTGTAAAACATAAATGTCCAATGTATTGAAATTTCTCAAAAATATTAAAAAAAATACTTTATATGAAAAGAAGAACATCCAAAATTGTAAAAAAACCTTTTCAATTTCACAAATTTGGGAAATGTTTCTATGATTTTTCTATCTTACGTAAGTAAGTAGTTTGAAATATATAATAAATATAAATCAACATTGTATGTAAGCCTAGATCACGTCATAACCAAGTGTAAAAAAGTTAGACGAGAATATAATCTCACAACTATTTATAAAAATTAAAACATCTAATCAGGTAGATATCATCTACGAATGTAGAAATAAATTTGACTGAGATTTCAGAAATTTATTAACTTGTTTAACAATTGACATAAATAGAATAGAAAAATATATTAAACTTAAAATAAAAATAAAATAAACTTAGGTTGCGTCAAATATTTTCACGATATCACAATCATTTGCATTGAAGAAAGTTTCATATACAAATATATTTATTATAAATAATTTTCTTAAAAATCATTTTTCAAAAATATTTCATGTACTTAGAAAAGCATCGGTGTACAATCAACTGTTAATCAATCGACACTTATAAATAAAAAATATCAGCACGGTTACAACATATTTAAACATTGTACATATGCATAATTATGAAAATCTAATCTTACAGTGTACAGCGTTTGATATGATTCTTGTGCAGGTTGAATCGGTATTACATAGTATTTAAACCCATTGAGTTATCATTAATCAGATTTCCAATAGGATTTTCAATTATTCGAAATCATATTATTTATTTTAACATGATCAACTTCATTATGCTCAATAAATTTTATTCATTATGATACAATGAAAATTTCAAGATAAAAACTATGAAACATGAACTTAATATATGAAATATTGTGTATCTTGTGTAATGTTTCAACTAGGCAGTTCAAATAATCTTAGGTTTTAAATATCTATTTTTCAAAGAGAAATTTCGGAGTCTTATCAAAGTTTTTCCTTAAATAATAGGTAAGTTTCTAAATATTTTATATTTCAAATACATTATGTACCACTATGTTTTATTTTACTTTGACTCGAAATGAAATCAACACTAGTAAATGCTAATAACAACAGTAATTAACATTACTTAGTGGATGATTTGAAGAGCATTGTCATGAGACTGCTAAGTGATTGATGCAATAGGTCTAGATGATAAACAGTATAAAATAAAATACGGAAATAACCTTTAAATAAGACATGCATAATTTCAAAAATGGGACTAGATCCCAATTGCATCACAGAAAGTTAGAGTTATTTACTTGATGGGATCCCAAGTAACACCTAAATTACTTATCGGAACCCTTTAAGTTTTGTTTATCCGATAGAACACCATCGACGGGACACCTCATGCATGTTCTAGTATCAACAAACGTTGCAACCATGCAATGAAACTCTGTCGATCAAAATTTTCAAATTGGGTCAAGATAGTGTAAGATTTCTAGGGATGGTGAAACCGGATGTCTTCAGATGCAACCGTCAATGCATAGAGAGAAATCCATCTATGCCTGAGTAGCAAGATATCCACAATCACAGACCAACTTCCAATCGCGCATGAAATTGGGTGTTGATGATCAAAAATTGACTTCCTTTTTGGAACATGTCCGTAGGTGATGTTCTGAGAGACAATCAGACTCTAGCAGACTTATTGATATGGGGCATGAAAGATCGAAGTCTCGATCTACTTCTAATACTTTTTACTGCAGTTTGATTTAGCCTATTCATGTCAAGATTTGCACCAACGATTTGCGATGGCAGAGTTCCACTAAAACTTCAATCATATGTTTTCAGTGACAGGTCTTAGAACTTGACGACGGTGAAGTGTTGTTAGGATTCTATCGGTTAAAATGAAACTTGATGGATACAATCAAATAAATATATCCAAAAATATATATATTATTCGCATTTTGCTTTGCGGAGCAATTCAGATATTTTTCCGAACTATTACTATCAGATATCATGCTAACAAGAAATTGCTAGATTGCTGATTTCATCGTAGATGTACTTAAGGTATGATTCTAATGGGCATGGTATATATATTGGTGATATCACTCATTTTCTGTAATGTTCCGTGATCATGAAAATAATTGTGCATAATCATACGTCATTT